GATCTCACTCTGTCACCCAGGCTGGAGTGCAGTGGCACAATCTCTGCTCACTGCAACCATCCACCTCTCACGGTTCAAGCGATTCTCCTGCTCAGCCTCCCACCAGTAGCTGGGAATACAGGTGTGCGCCACCACACCCGGATAATTTTGTATTTTAGAGAGAGAGAGGGTTTCACCATGTTGGCCAGGCTGGTCTCAAACTGGCCTCAAGTGATCTGCCTCCTTAAAGTGGCTGGGATTACAAGCATGAGCCACCACTCCTGGCCTTTTCCCCCATATTTAGCAATTAGCTTTTGTTGGCTACCCATTGTCTTCATTTCATTTAGTTTTTAATTGTTTTATAATTTTGACATTTTATAATTACTTGAAAAAGGTTAGAAAAAAAATTACCATTAGATTGGAGTCATATTAAATAAGATGCCTATATTGTAAAAATATGTTTATGAATGTAATCTTTGTGGCTACAGGTTTTCTCCACTATTATTTATTTCAGATCCTTTTTTTTTTTTTTTTTTTTTTTTGAGATGGAATTTCAACGCTTGTTGCCCAGGCTGGAGTGCAATGGCAGGATCTCGGCTTACCGCAACTCCACCTCCCAGGTTCAAGCGATTTCCCGCCTCAGCCTCCTTAGTAGCTGGGATTACAGGCATGTGCCACCATGCCCGGCTAATTTGTATTTTTAGTAGAGACAGGGTTTCTCCATGTTGGTCAGCGCTGGTCTCGAACTCCCCACTCAGGTGATCCGCCCACCTCAACCTCCCAAAGTGCTGGGATACAGGCGTAAGCCACTGCGCAGCCCATGATCCTTGTATTTTAAGAGTTTTACCGTGCCGGCACAGTGGTTCACGCCTGTAATCCCCAGCACTTTGGGAGGCTGAGGTGGGTGGATCACGAGGTCAAGAGATGGAGACCATCCTGGCTAACACGGTGAAAACCTGTCCTCTAAAAAAAATACAAAAAATTAGCCAGGGTCGGCTGGCGGGCGCCTGTAGTCCCAGCTACTCGGAGCTGAGGCAGGAGAATGGCGGTGAACCCGGGAGGCAAAGTTGCAGTGAGCCGAGATCCTGCCACTGCACTCCAGCCTGGCAACAGGAGCAAGACTCCGTCTCAAAAAAAAAAAAAAAAAAGAGTTTTATATTGTGCTTCTATATTT